CAAATACATACTGTAAAACACGAGAATGCCTTCCCCATGAACAAACTCTCTCTCTATCCATGCACATGGTGATGGATAATTACCAGGGAATCAAGGATTATATTCTCTGCCAACCTTGTTACATCCTTTATGTCGTCACCAAGGCCCTCCATGAAGCTCCTTGTTGAGTTTGGTATCATTCCATGAGCTCCGAATCAAAGGCCTCTCACGTGGAACTTTCTTGGCCCGAAACTCTCAAAGAAATTTTTCACTAAGAAAAGGGATGCATTTCTCAAAGGTCTTTTTTTTCTCTCTTTCCACTTTGCCTGCCTGATCGAGGTCTTTGGTCTCATACCTCACGGTAGGATCCAAAATCATCGCAGACTTTCCCATCTTACGGAATGCTACAATGTCGGCATATCGGGTGGATTAGCGTCGATAATCCTTGCGTTGGCATACGTTCTCGGGAGGCCTTTTATAAAGCCTCTCCGATTCCTGTGGAAGGTGACATGCTTTCTTAGTTCGTGGTCCAGAACCTTCTCTATGATTCAGCGCACAATAGAATAAATGGTGATGGGTCTCCAGGTAGAGATATTATTTACATCACCTTTCTCCTTATATATTAATATTGTGCGCCCTTGTCAAAGTGGTTCTGGGACATAGGCCACCTTCAGCATTATCTCTGCAATTGATTTGATAATATTTGCTACATCAAAATATTTAATCGTACGGATTAGAACTCCATCAGGCCCCAGTGATGTGTCCATTGGTGTTGATTTAATGGCTTTCTTGACAGCTTCTAGATCAATGGACACCAAATTTGGCATCGGGGCACACTGTTCGTAATATGCATGCCCCCAGAGATTTTCGCTCTCAAAGAGGTCTTTATAATGTTTTTCGATATCAGCCATCTTTAGAGGACACCGCTTAGGAGCATCAGCATTCATAACAGTTTGCACAACCTTTTTCCTTTTATTATAGTAATTATATTGAGCAACCTCATATTGATACTGCTCCTGCCGACGACTCCTGTCTACTTTGTTCGCTCTTTGCGGATTTGAGACTTGTCCAGCACCCTTGTCAGCCACTTTCGTTTTTTTTTTTTTTTTCAATCTGTGAAATTTAACGACTGGGTGCTGAAGACCTGGCAGTTCCCCATTGATATTCTTTTCAATTTTAGAATCAGCCTACGGCCTCATCAAAATCCGCTATATTCATCGTGTTGTCTTTTAAGAGATTCTTGAACACGGTAGACCATCCAATTATGTCCTCTTTTATTTTTGATACCTCACCCTCTCCATTTTTAGGACCTATAACATTTTTCACTATGCTCCTCAGTGTATTGGTGTTAGCCTCCCTGGGGTATTTTTTTGTAATATGGGTTCCAAGACCTCTTTCACCTTTAAAAGAAAGCCCGCAGCATATGGAACAAACTTTATTACCAGAGCGTGGAACTTCGTCCTCCTGCTCTCTGTTCGCCTCCACTACATTCTGTGGAACATTTGGCAATGCTGGAAAGACATCATCTATCGAAACTGTCTTTCCCAATAGTACATCTTCTGTGTCTGGCCATTCGACCTTTACATATTTCTTTTCGCTGCCTCCCGCAGCATCTACAGACATCACAGAGGCAACAATAGCCTCCTGAGCAGGTCCTCCAGTTTTCAGAACCCATACTCTCTGGCCAATCTCGATTTCATTCATTGTTCTTAGGTACATTCAAAATCCAATCTCTTTATTCGAGACCATGTATACCACCCGCATGATTAAAACAAATTATTTAAAGGAGAGTGAATCTGTATATAAATAAATAAAAACTAAACAGGAGAGACATGCATATATGTCAACATAAACCCTGAAATATCAGATTAATATCAAATGCTTAAAAAGAGTTAAAATGTAAAATGAATACAACCTAAAATATTAAAATCTATAAAATCAATTGCTTAAGAATAAGTTAAAATATAAAATCAATAGAATCCAAGTTATACTATAAAAAGTTAAAATCTATCTTGAAACTAAGCTAAAATATAAAATGAAGTTAAAATCTATAGAATATATTGCTTAAAATTAAGTTAAAATATATAAAATAAATTATTCCGTACATATATTATTACAGAAAGGCTCGAAATCGGTTTTGTACCAAATATAAGCTCCTGTCATGCTCAAATACCATGAATGGGGTACCGTTGGATTCAGAATTTCACGGGGGGTTAGCGAATCGTATTCTCCACTTTTATTTTTCCTTCTAAAATGAATAAAGTCGATACAAACATTTTGCTAGGCTTCAATACCTGAACAGTGGTAGGTCTGTAGATCGATTGGATCTAGAAGATTTTGATGCGTACAGCAAGACCCAGATAGTTCCTCCAGAACTATCGGATCCTCCGTTTTTAAGCCCAAAAACGTTCTATTTTCGAGATAACGCAAGGCATAGGGTTCACATCCACACAACCTTACATGAATTATAGTACTGTTATTGAATAAATGTCTCATTTCGTCGACTTGAGGTCTCTATGATCGAGAGAGGAGGAGTTTATATTATTTATCGATGGTGTTTTTGATCGGCAAGCCATATCATCGTCAATTTTTCAACAAATCTCAAGATTGAGCCACCAATTTCGATGCTTCCTTCTCCTTCATGCGGACAAATAGTCTAATCACCCCGAAAATTCAGGAAAAAAAGTTATAAAAGAAAACAAACTTTATTTGCGAATAACTAAAAAATTACACACTTTTCCCTTGGTTATGCCAGTGATTATATAAAAGATTACTAAATTCCCTACACAATAAAAAAAAATCATTGAAATCGGACAATTTTTAGCAAAGATACAGCTTACTGAAATTTGTAAACATGTTGGTTCCAAACAAAAATGAAGATTTAAATTAATTTTTGTTTTCTCTGTCTATTATATATATCGATAAAGTAAAATTTGATTTCTTTATCTTTTGATACGTTGCATTATTTTATTTTCTTATTAATCTGGCATTTGATAACAATATGCTGTGCGAAGTTTTCGAAAGTGAAGAAAGTCTAATGTATTAAATTAAGTAACAAACTCTTAATTTTAACAGACAACACTATATTTCAACAAGGTTATACAAAACACTTTCTAAAAATTAGTTTGCACTTTTATAAGTTATATTATTATCGAGCCCACACTTCCACCTCTATCATATATTATATCATAAAAGTATTATAATTGAAGAAAGTCTAATGTATTAAATTAAGTAAAAAACTCCTTATTTTAACAGAAAACACTATATTTCAACAAGGTTATACAAAACACTTTCTAAAAATTAGTTTGTACAACTGGTGGAAGCTAGTCTGCTGGTTACCCAGGCCTTGCTAAACTATTATATCAATCTCAAATAATAATATCAAACATGATGCACAATAAAAATATGCAAGTTCATAAAAAAAATAACAAAACATTAAAAATTAATCTGGTACTTATTTAATAGCGGGTAGCGTCAAAACCTCCCTTCTTATCTAATCTCATTTCACATAACCTCCCTTATCTCATCTAACCTAAGTTATTCCCTTGTTTATTTTTTGCTTCTTGTGTTAGTTGTGAGTTATTGTTATGTAATTATGGATGTTGTCATATTGTGAGAATTGCCGTCTTCAGAAGAAGAGGCTATAAAATATTTTCAAGACGCCGGGATATTTGCAAAGTCAAATATTGTGATGAAGGTCATCAAATGAAGTCCGACGGAAAGATTAAATGCTTTCTTAGTTGTAACAAAAACGTTTCTATAAGGAAAGGAACGTGGTTAGAGGGGTCGAGGATTTCTTTTTTAACGGCTTTAAAATTCATTTATGGGTGGTCCCATAATTTAACAACAATACAGTGCGGGCGGGCGGATAGAGAACAGGATCCCTTCCTTACTATTTTAAATACCATAAAACTATTTTCCCTACCAAAATAAATCAAGTTAAAATAAATTTTTTCATATTTTGTTTATATCGTTTCTTCATAGTGTTTCTTTTATATGTACATAAGCTGTTTAAGTGGTTTTTTATGATTTCATTTATTTTGATATATATGTTGCAATGTTGTCGAAATGTTTTTTAATTATATATTTATAATGTTTTGGTATATTTTAATATATATGTTGTAAAATAAAAGTGTTTTTTTTATTATTACATTTGTTTTTGTTCACAATTTCAATAATATCAATAAATATGAATACGAAGAGCTAATCAGTTTTAAGGTTATAAACATTGGCAGATAGCAGTCGGACGCTACCCGCTGTTAAATAAGTACCATTAATCTTAACAAATATTATGTTTGGAAGTCTGTCCAAACCATTATTCAGCCATGTCAAGTGTGTGCTCATGTACCTTTGCTAGTTCTCGATCCCAAATTGACAATTTTTTATCACTAGTTACAATGTAAAATGGTTAATTATTTAGAATAAACAAAAATAAAGGTACTTAAAGGAAAGAAGTTTTGAAAATATGGCTTTTAAGTCATATCAGACTATTTCAATGAGAAATATCTGTTTAATCTTAAAAAATCACTTAATTTTAACACTTGAAAAGTTGGTAATATAAAGTTCCATTTTCTGTTTGTCAGTTTTAACAAAAATTTAATATAATGAGGTTAATCTAAATCATTAGAACAGTTTTTGAGAAAATTGTAAAAATGTGGATAGTCGATGATGCAAAGTGGCACTTACGATTATGTGATTTTAGGGAAAAAATTGCTGTAGCATCCCACGCCTTTATCTACCTTAAATGAGTAATTTCCGTTTCTTAAGACTTTTTGTTTTTGGACTAGGCTGTTCAAACACAGGCACGCATGCACAGACCATTTGGCAAAACTTGGTCATTTGTACTAAGCCAACCTCAAAACACGGATTTTTGTTCAAAATTCAGATTTGAAAATTTGCATGATCGCAATAATTTCTCTTATTATATATAAGTAAAAATTGAAAATTCAAACAAGAAGAAGAAGTGAAGTCAATTAGATAACTTCATCAGTAAAATTAATTAAATAAGATAATATACTTACGACATCCCACGGTGTAGCAGCTTTATAATCTTCCTTTGGAAGATATAATGCAGTATGACATATTTCAGGACAAGAATGCCCACATTCCTTCTTAATGCCACAAATAAGCCTACATGGCGGGCAATCTCCATAATGACATTTATGTTCTTCTCTCTTCAGATGATCACATTTTGGTGGATTTCTGGAAGTTTAAAGGATACATGAATAAATACAAAAATATTCATATTAAAATTAGATAAATACTTTTTAATTAAGTTATTGTACTATTAATGAGACAGGTAATTAAAAGTTTTCAAGAATTAAGATAGGTAAAAAGTTGTTCTTCTTAAAATATAAGCCATTATTTTCTAGTATACTAGCTAGCAGGTTTATTGAGCCTGTCCTGGTCTCAAATAGTAGTAAATTTAATCTAGTCTAAAAATTTATAGGATGGTTTTTGTCTATACTGTGCTCTCCATGTTCAGAATGGGGAAAAACGAAAAAAATTCGAAAATTTAGCAAAGTTTTGGAAACTATCATCCACAGCACCGAATATTATAATTTATTCATTCATTATTATAATTTTCTCCTCAATATCCTCCTTCCCACTTCTATCTGTAGAGCTAAGTGGCCATAATTAATACAGGTGATAGCACAGGATTTCTAATGAGTCCAAAATAATAGATTCTCCTATAGACTGCAGATGCACAGGGTATCCCTTTCCACACCCAGCTCTTCCAAAAAATCAGCAGTTGAAAGTGGAATCTCTCCTTTAATTCCAAACCCAATTCTTCTTCTTCTTTAACTTTCTCATTGTGCCTTTCAGCGTCGAGTTAGGTTAATCCAACACAGGATCTCTATCTAGCTCTGTCTCTTGCAAGAATTGTCATCTCCTGCAGTGTCATTCCTCTCACTTGTTCGAACTTGGAAATATAGCCATTATAGCTAAGTCTTGGTACTCTTCTAGGTCTAGTGCCTACTGGTCTTTCTTCCATAAATTTTCATGGGTCACTATCATGACTCATCCTGCACACATGTCGGGTACTATCCCAACTGTCTTCCAAACCTGAATCACCGAAATGAAAATTCTCTGATCAAATTCTTCTCTATATTGCTCCTTTGGTATGGAATGAATTTTCTATAGATTTCTTCTTTTTCTTATTGTATTTTGAGATTTTGATCCTCATTAATGGTTTCAAATCTAATTTCATTAGATTTATACTTGGGGTCCCCAGGAGCTTCCACGTCTCCAGTTGCTATGCCGAGTTTAAGTGGCTCTATCCAGTTTTCTGATAGAAATATTTCCTAGGTGTATTTCTTTTCCAAACCTTTACAACCAAAAAACCTTCTTATCTTCTTGATTTCTTTATTCCTTGTTCCTCTGTTCATTCATTCAACTCGAATCCAATCCTCAAATTTGTTTATTCCTTCTCATAGAACTGTTTCCTTTAAAATATCCTTCGTCATACGTGCTACCTCGTTGTGGAATTTCCTAAAATTTACATGTTTCTTTATTTTAATATTAAGATTAGACAACTTTATAAATTAATTTATTTTTAATTGTCAATTAATTATTCACAATCAAAAATTATAAATATAGATATTATCATTACTCTGTTCATTTTAGTTATTCTGAGGGGACTAAACGTCCCAGAATAAAATTTACTTTCTTTCTTTCTTTCCAATACACACAAAACAATTTGCCCAACCAGAGAAATTCTGTGAGATGTCACTTCATTACTTCATGAGACTGGAAAAATCCTTAGAACACGAGGAAATTATGGTATCTTCTTAGATATTGAAGGTGCCTTAGATAGGACTCATTATAGCATAACTAATGCTGCACTAAGGAAGAAAGAGGTGCATCCTATGTCCTCTAGATGGATTGTGAGGAAATACGAGATACTAAATTACTTTGTTGACAAAAAAGAATGCATTGGGATATATTTTAATATAGAAAAAGCATACGATAACTTAAATCCATCACTTGTCCTCCTTCAGCTAAAAAAATGGGGATTTAGAGGTCGCCTTATGATATTGATAAGAAATTTCCTGCAGAGCCGAATATTTCAAGTCAGAGTAGGAAACAATTTGTCCTAAGTAAAGGAAATGACCAAGGGAATTCCTCGGGAAAGTGTTCTGAGCTGTATCATTTTCAATATAGCCATTAAGAAAAAACCAATATAATTCCGAAACTATCAGAACATTTTAATTTGTTGATGACCTAATCTTGCTACTAACTTTTGGGAACCCAAATAGGATGAAAGTGATATTTAAAAATTGTTTAAAACATTTAGACTTGATCCACCATGCGGGTATCCGTCTCACAATAAGTGCCTTTAGAACTAGCCCTGTCAATAGTTTATGTATAGAATCAGGCCTGGCTCCACAAGAAGACATCAACTTGCTTTCGGCTATATTGGAAGATTGAAATTCAATGACAATAACTCAGCATGAAAAGTTATTTACCAACTAAAAGTTCGAAATGAATTGAAAATATATTTTATTATTCTGGGACTGTTGACCCATTAGAACAAATTATAAGTGCTGAATGCATGTGTAAGTGGTCATAAATAGAGTAGATATAAAAGAACCAAAGATGGCTGCATCACTTGGAATTAGAGCAAGAAGCTACAGCGAATAAATCCGCTATCTGCAAATAACAACCGAGTTCCATTACCCACCATGGACCTTAAAACTGCCTTTACTAGATCTAACACTTAATAAATAAAAAAGGAAAAAATTTCCTCAAAATCTACTACTTAAAACAATATCAAAATATTGAAGCTCAATATAATAACAACAATTACATTTATACAGACGGTTCAAAATCAAATTGCAATTTTGGATGTTCCATTGTAACTGAAACCAATATGATCAATTATAGGCTCCCACCTTTAACTAGCTATTTCACTGCAGAATGCTACACTATTTGTGGAGCACTCTACACTCACTATTCATGCAGTATCAAGAAGATAATTTTACTATATATACAGACAGATTCCCTACTCCCCATGATGGCGATTGCGAACATATACTCTAGGGACTCAATAATAAGAAAAGCTCAGGCTTATTCGTCGATGATAAAGGACTTAAACAAGAAATTAGTAATTGTCTTGATACCATCGCATGTAGGTATCAACGGAAATGAAGAAGCTGATAGGGTGGTGAAGGAAGCAGCATCGTCTTCTATAGAGATCACGAATATTCACTCCACCAGTACGGAGCCATCCACGGCAGTACGGATCCTCTAAAGGCAGGGGAGCCGCAGATGCCCTGCTGAGAGTGTGCCGTGATGTCGAAGAGAAGGCGGAGAAGTATGTTATGCTCCTCCTGTTTGAAATATCATCCGCCTTCGATAGCGTCTGGTGGCCGAGCGTACTCTAGCAGTTGCAAATGGATCACCCAGTAACTTGTATGGCTTGATCAGAAGCTATCTCCACGATAGGACATTGAAGATTAAAGGAAGCTTCTATGAAGTAGAAGATACAGTGGAAAGGGGTTGTCGCTGCTCTATGGAAACTGGTCTTTAATGAGTTTCTGGGAGTGCTAGAACAGGAGCGGTTCCCCGCAACTGCATATGTAGATGACCTGGCTGTTGTAGTGGCCTCGAATAGCAGGGCCAGATTAAAATATGAAGCTGAACGCTGTGCCAACCTTGTAGAAGAATGGTGCGAGAGAAAGAAGTTAAGGTTCCAAGACTCAGGCCATCCTCTTGATAGGTACGACTGATAGGGCACACCCCATAACCTAGGTGATACAAGGTTCAAGAATACGTCCAAGTGCGGTATTCACCTATCTTGGAATTAGGATTGGAAAAAAATTCAACGTGACGCCTCACTTGGATTATTTAAGAAATAGGATAACCTTAGCCCTTAATGGTCTCAGTAGCATAGGAGGAGCCTTTTAGGGCCTTAGATATCCAGCAACTATGTCCATTTATAAAGGAGTAGTGGTTGGTATCCTGAGATACGCGTCCCCTCCATGGAACCAGAATCTCTCGTACCGTCAGAAGCGCAGGTTGGCAACAATCCAGCGGATGGCTCTGCTTAAAGTAACCAGGTCATACAGAACTCTGTCCCATGAGGCGGTGCAGGTCTTAGGAGGAGGTATCTCCGTCGACTTCCTCCTGCGGGAAGACCTTTTTCGGCACAACATTAAGAGGGATGGCTTGGCGGATTTACCAGCAATCATTCGGGAGAGAATTTGTAAAGACCCCAGAAGATGGAAGATGATCCTCCGGGAGGATACATTGGAACAATGGAATCGGCGATGGGTGACAACCCCAAACGGGTCCACACTAAGAAAATTCTTTCCCACCATTGAATCGCGCTTAGAAAAGAAATGGGTCCTCCCGGATTACTGGGTCTCACAGATCCTCATGGGGCATGGGGTTTTCAGAGCGAAATTTTTTAAACATGGTAAAAATATCGATCCCTTATGCCCAACTTGTGGAGTACCTGAAACCGCTGAGCATATCCTTGTAGCCTGCACCAGCTATGAGGCCTTGAGGGCCAAATTAATGAGAGATATAGGGCTTTACGTTCTAACAGAAAGACAATTACCCCAACTGATGTCTGAACAAAACTACCTGCACTTTTTGTTTGCGGGTGGAAAAAACTGTGGGCCCAACCCAATTCTCCCTGGGTAGGCATGAAGAAGTTGTACCTGGAAGGCCGCTGATAAGAACAGAAGAAGAAGATGGAGGACGATAAAATAAGTCACAAAATTATGAAGCAGGCTGTATGCACAGCAATATAAAAATGTAAAAAGATAAACTTGCAACAGTGATTTGTTGTGCAATGTGTATCAAGTCACTGCTGCTAACTCCCATATTGTCTTAAAGGCAGAGTAGGGAAGAAAAAAAAATAAAAATAAGCCTGAACAAAAATGACTCGTACAAGTATCTTGGTGTATATCAGCTTTTAGAATTTAAGGAAGACATTAAAAAGCATTTCGAGGATAAATTCAAGAGTCATTTCAAAAGACGCGTAAAGATCATCCTCAAAACATATCTTTCTGGAAAAAATATTGTAAAAGCTTTAAATACATGGGCGATTCCAGCTTTATCCTATTCCTATCCCTGATGCAGAATGCGGTGTTACTTGGAACAGCTAGTATTGTTTGTAAATTTATGAATGTAACCAGCAAATGCTGTGAAAGAAAGGATTTCCCTACATAATAATAATAAATAATAAGGAC